ATCCTCACTCACTGGCAGGTGACTGATGTGACTAGCAGGAGCGCTACTCATTGAGGAGTCCGGACTCGGCACGACTCAGGTATTAGTCGTAAGGTCACCATGAGGCAGGTCAGAGGGTAGGACATGAGGCAGAGAACTCTGACCAAACGATGGTCAATAGGTACCTGGTCTGTGCACCGTTGTATTAGTATATATAGTAGGGAGTCTGAGGCAGGGAACCTCAGACTTGATCTTCTCGTCGATCCCCCATCTCCTCTGTAGGTAGCTAGCAGCCCTACCTTCTACTGCCCCTTCTAGTCTAGGGAATACACTTCTTCACATCTCTTGCTGTGTCACCTGTGGTTGCTTCGCTTCTCAGCACCAACCTCTGCATCAGTAAGCTTTGCCCTTGTTTGTTTTGGTGGCACAGCTCGTTGGCTGTGACATTAGATCAAGTCTCTTACCCATCCCCTCTGTGGAGTGTCTCAAACACTTGCGGACTGGATCTCTCTCCCCAGGAGTTTTTTGAAACATTTATCATCCCCCCCACTATCCTTCCATCCGACTCGGACCTACCGGAGTTTACCCGTCGTCACTTCAAGAGACACGGTCACCTTGACGTCCAGTTCCAGATTGACCACGCCCTTGCAGACGACACGTCGGATCGTCTTCGTCACCGCCGTCAATATTGGCATACCCCTATCATCCCTCATCGCAAGGCCCTCCCCCCATCTGTGCCCTCTTCCCAGCCGCTCAGCAGACCGCTCGCTGCACGTCTCACCACACCACCACCAGTCGTTGTCCCATCCACCCCTACGGTCCCTCTCCAGTACCGTATCTCTGCACCACCTATCCCCTCCTTCGCACATCGTGATCCCATCGATCTCGTTGCCATCGTAGGCTCCAAGGTCAGTGCCGTCATCAAAAGATTGCAGGCCATTTTCGATCGCAAGGACCAGTTGCTCAACATCCCCCACGACCATTGGCTCGCCCTTCAGCGCATCGGCGACAGGCTCGAGTGGATACTCGACAACATCGAGAACAGCTCTTCGTGGACACGCAGTCAGCAACAGAACATTGATTGGTTCTGTAAGGAGTTTGGAAAGGTCAAGTTCAGTGGACTTGGACAGAACTTTGAGCGCATTGTCAAGGCTTTAGTGGAGTTAGAACATTTCGGGTACTTAGATTGGATTGTCGTTTAGTTTGTGTCTCAGATATCTTTTACAATGGCTTCAGGCTCTTGTTACGCCCTTCTGGCAGAGGATGACTTTGAGTCAGACGACCCGGGCCCATCCAATCACCCGGGACCATCACAGGCACACACCTGCCCGGCTTCACCCACTGCCACGCTTCAAGCGTGCCCGGAAATTCAATGGATCTATGCCGGTGTTGAGTACGACTCGTTGGAAAACGCTATCCGTGCCTCGGCAGACAGCTTAGGCATCAACAACCAAGCTTACGTCGACTGGACTATCTCCGTGACAAGGGACATCACACGGCGCGAAGTGGTCAATGTCTACAACATCCTTGGCAGCAAGATATACGAACATCGGAACGACTTCCTCAACGAGGTCGACACCACCCACGCCACCTTCAAAGAGTTGGACGCGTCAATGACAGGCCTTCACACCAAGGCTGACACTGCTGGGAACCTCGCTCTCAAAGCTGTGGAAGAGAACAAACAGTTGAAGGCGGAACTGGTCACTGTCAAAGCGGACCTGGAGGTTCTCAACCGGAACAATACGGAGCTCGTCAAACGGTACAAGGAACTCGCGGCCAAGTTTACACAGTTGGAGCAAGGCCTGTCGACCCACACCACGCTTGGTATCAGTACCGCCCCAGTCCCTGTCATATCACAGGCCTCGCGTATCAAGGCATCAGAACTACCCAAGTACAAGGGCAACAAAGGCTCGGACATCACTCTCAAACAGTGGTTACAGAAGATGGGCCTTTGGTTCCGTGTCCAGAACATCACCACGGACGATGACAAGATTACCCTGGCTCTCATGTACTTGGAAGGCGGCGCGCACGACTACGTCGAGGACTACGTCGAAACAGCATCGAACGGTGGAACCCTTGGATCCTGGACCGACTTCGTCAACCGACTCAAGGCAGGCTATCGTCAACTGGCTCCCGAGAAGACCGCGCAAACATCCCTCGAGGAGTGGTGCTCAAAATCTCACTCCACGGTCATTCAGTTCGCCGAGAACTTCCGCCGCTACGCATCGAAGTCTGGTTACGCTGATGTAGAACTCATCCGACGCATCGACAACCAGGTCGGCAAGAACTTGCAGATTCTTACGGTTATGACGGCAATGCGGCAAGTCAACCCGATGCTGATTCCGACGAAATGGGAGCACTACCTGGACTGGGTACTGAAGCTGGAAATGGAAACTCGGGGAAATCAGGCCAAGTCGTCTTCGCAGCAGCACACGACTAGTCGCCCCCCACGGGACCCCAATGCCATGGACGTCGACGCAATGCGCAAGCCGGAGAAGCTCTCCAAGGAACAGCTCGAATGGCTCGACAAGAAGCTCTGTTTCCGTTGCGGCAAGCACAAGTTTACGACTGGCCAGAAGTGTCGCAACCCTCAGTACACGGGTTACTACGAACTTCCGGACATGAAGAAACAGCCAGCTGCCCCGACCAAGGTCCGCACGATGGATCCGGCCGATGAAGACAAATGGGAGTACATCCGCAGGGCCCTTGAGGAGTTTGAAACTAAAGGAAAAGGCAAGGGCAAGGCACCGGAAACTGAGACCGCCGCACGCATCGTCGAGGTCAAGGAATCCGAGGAGGATTTTCTGGAACGGGTACTTTGAAGACTGACCAAAGTATCCAACTCTGTAATCATAGCGTAGACCTAGAGGACTCTTTTGTTCTGCATTCGAATGTTATTTATCTCGCATCAGCACGTCGCCCGCGAAATTCGTTCGATCTCAAAGTTTCCCTCACTCAAGGTACGCATGAAGTTCAGTCAGAAGCTCTCCTCGATTCAGGAGCCTACTCTTGTTTTATCCACCACC